GAGCAGTGAGAAAGGGTGAATTTTTTGGATGTTGTTAACTGTGTTAAAATAAAAAAGGATCAATTGTCCGTTTTGGTTAGGGGTGTGCATCGGTCGGTTCGGTACTGTTTTAGGTGTTATTGGTTCGGTTTATCAGTTTTTGGTTTGTAAATATGTCAAACCGATAACCAAACCAATAACATATTTCTTATCGGTTTTTGGTTAATCGGTTTATGGTACTTAACGGTTCGGTTTTCGGTTTAACCAATAAGAAAATACTCATACATATTATATACACGATAAGAAAATTTTCAAATAAACCATATGATTTTTCCAGCATTTGGCATGAAAGTAATAATCAAAAAGTAACAATCATTTTTCTTGCAAGTTTAGACACTAGACACATTCAAAGGAAAAAGTGTGAAAGTAACAATCGTTTAACCATTAACAAAAAGTGTGAAAGTAACAATCGTTTAATCATTAACAATAAGACTAGTAAATTTAGTATAGTCTTATTGGGTTATCGGTTTAACCATTAACAAAAATTATAAACCAAAACCGAACCAATAACCCAATAAAAAATTTTAGCAAAACCGTTTAAAAACCGTTAGCCCAATAACCCAATATCAATAAACCAAATAGTGTTTTTTTCGGTTCGGTTTATTGGTTAAATTGGTTTTTGCACACCCCTAGTTTTGGTGTTAAAAATATTTCAATGTCCCTTTATGCATTTTAAAAGAAAAAAATGACCATTTTGGCTCCAGACTCCTACATTAGTGATGCAACATTTAAAGGATCGCCTTGCTAGTCCATTCCAATATGACAAACTTCCCCTATAAAAGGAATGATTTTCAATATTTAACAGGAAAAAGGCCTGATATATCCAACTTTATTATTTAGAGTTGATACATTTCTTGTTATAAAAGTGATTCACATATACTTCTACGATTATGAAATTGACTCATACATATATCTTTACAAAAGCGGCTCACATATATATACTCCTACCGTTATAAAAGTGATAAAATTAATATCAAATTAATTTTTTTTTAAAAGATAATCATGTATTTGATCTTCTTCAAACTTAAATTATTTTTTGACTTTTTTATTATTATTATTATTTGAGTTTCTTATTCTTATTTCATTTTTTCTTTTATTCTTTAGTGTAAAAATAAGAGGAAAACAATGTGAATGGAAAAAGAGAAAAAAGTAAGATTTTTTTTAAAAAAAAATTCGGCTATATTATTTATGGAATTAATGATATTAACATGTTACTTATTAGTCGTGCTTGCTTATTTTAAAATTTGTTCTTTATATGTTTTTTTATTTTATTTTGATAGATTAAGTTAAAAAGACATAACTCAATTCATAATGTGCACAAAATTTATTTAAAGTATATCTTAATATTTAAATTTTTTAATTAGATTTATCATTATTGAGTAAATAAAAATTATGTGAAAAACATCAAATATATATGGATGATTTCTTTTTAAGAAAAAAATTAAAATTAATTTTTTCAGAGAAGAAAGATACATTCGAGCTATTTGCAAAGGTGGAGCTAAGTGGAGGTTTGTGGGTTCAGACAAACCCGCTAGCTTTTTCATAGACTCTATATTTGTATTAGAAAATTAAATAAATATATATGTATATAAACTTATGGATCCCCTAATAAAATTGATTGACAACTCAGTAGGAAGAAAAGATAGTAAAAATATTTTTCACACTGGTTTGTGGGTTCGAACCCTCTTATCAATAAAAAATTCTGTTTATATGGATATATTACCCTTATGTAGAAATGGGACTTAAAAAGGACCAACACTGCATCTTGTGATTGTACTAAAGGCAGTACTAATTGTACATTTACAAAAGGACCAACACTGCATCTTTGTATTGTACTAAAGGTAGTACTAATTGTACATCAATAAAGACATCTCTCATTTTCCTTTCACTTTGTCTAGAAGTTTCTTACTATATCTCACAATTTTCTAACCCTAATTTCTCTTCTCCTTGCTAAAGTCGCTCTATTCTCTCAACTCTTCGTTCTACTTCTCAGCTCTTCAATGGCGAATCCATCTGTTGCTTAGTCTTTTCTGTTTGTCTACACACTCTCCATCATTCTAGAACACTCACCTTCCTCATTAGCACAAAGTAGACGCAAGATTTTCAATACAAGCATCAGTTCTTCCATTCTCTTGCTCCAACTCCAACAACAACGAATTCCAGGTATGTTCTTTCAATTTTGCAACAAATTTCTTCCTGTTCTTTTTTAACTTTTAAATTTTACCACTAAAATATAGGTTTGACGTCGTTATTATTATGTCTAATTCTCTCCCCCAATTTTATAATTGATGTAAAGATTTATGTTGTCCTCACACATATATGCAATTTTATTTTATATAGTTGCAGATTTATGGATTTTTATTTCAAAATTTGTTTTCCCTTTGTTCTTGGTTATTGAAATTTAGTGTTTCTTTTTCAATTTATTAATTGCAGGTGTGAACATTTTCATTTACTTGAGAAGGGAAGTTGACAAAGCTTCATACCCAAAAACCAATATTAACTCCTCAGAGAAACGATTATACTACAGGTACACCTAGCTTAATTTGGGGAGTTCTTATAGGAATGTGGTATCTTTTCGGGAATTCAGTTTTGTGTACTTGAAGATTCTTCTTTTTTGTTGTTAGAAGTGCAAAGGGAAGGGCAGATTCAATAAAGTAAAGGGGTCCAAGTTCCTTATTGTGTCCATTTTGATTACAATAATCAGATAGAATATAATCTCATTCATTCTGGAACTTGTGAATTTTGGGATTATTTTTTGTTGGAGATAAATTGCTGTGATTGGTCCAAAAGGGCGGGTTATAGACGGATTTCTCGGTTATCAAAAAAAAATTAGCTATATACTTTTAATATATGAAAGTATGCAATTAACTTTGTATATGATCTTTTCTAATTTTGAGACTTCTTTTAGTCAAGGGATGTTTTGTTACTTCCATAAAGAAATTGACAGATAGTACTAATACTAACACATAGGAACGTAAGAAATTATATTACCGTTTCCGACAAATTTCAGAAGGTGGTTTCTATAATTCTCTTGATTCTGTAACAACTATAGTAGGATTTTGGTTTGCAAAGTTTGTTTATGTAGTACTCAATCTTACTTTTAACAATCTGTAACTTCACTCTGGACTGAAAACTTCGAACTTCAATAATATTGAGGAAGCTAAAGTAGCAAAGATGGTTGGCTATTATATAATAAATAAAGGACAAGACGAAATATCAATAAGAATATGCTGTGAGTTCTATACTAGAGAGAGTAAGAAAGAAGTATCAAATAAATGCAACCTGTGAAACCAAACCAAAATCCAACTTGAGGAGAGTCATTCTTTGATCAGAGAAAGATGTCTTCGAGAAGGGAAAACACAATGCAATAGCAGGATGTTTTCCTTGAACGTCTGCTTTCCATCTGTTCTCTTCTTTATCCCCAAAAGAGCATACTTGATGAGGTTTCCCAGATCGAGAAGTTTGAAGGAAGCTTCTTAGCACTTATCTTAGCTTGGAACAATTTTCCCTTT